GCAACATGCTACTTCAGATGTTAAGAGCATTGGTACCGTAACTTCACCCGAATTCGATTTCTTGTGACTTCGAAATTGTACTGAGGCACATGCAATGAAGAACGCATTCCCGAATGTTCAACTTCATGGATGTTTCTACCATCTGAACTACAACAAGAAGCATTTAGGCGGACTTTATTAGATTGGTGCGTGTGTACACCAAAGCTGGTTTCGCGTTGAAAGCGAGGATGAAAACAGCTATGGGGTGTTTACCCACTACTGCACTGACTGAAACAATCGACCGGCTAACTGAAGAACTTCTGAACGATTTGCAGAAGGGTTTTCGAAGGTGGGTGTTTCGAAGACAGTAACCTCGGTCGCTTGAATTGTAGAGGAAGTGCGAGGCGTCCGCCGTCCACCAAAAATGCTGTAACGTTACCATAGCGTGATCAACAACGAACACTGTACGAACAGCTACGCGAAAGCAGCTCCGACAAATTCAGACCAAGTTAGGATTGTCACACCGTTGGCACGGAAGCTAACTGATGGGCTCCGTAAAGTGCAGAAGGGTCGCAAAATATTCTATGAACAACTTGTTGCAGGTAAATTTAAATAAATATTGGAATGTAGACGACAGAATACCAACCGTGAATGACTGTCATAATAGTGATATTATTACTTACCTTTGTGGGCTAACGCACAACTACGAAATGGCGCAATATACTGCATATAAAATTTTGCTAATTAAATAGTTTCTTCATATCACTTCATTGTTCTAAGAAGAAAATTCTACTTTAAATTACGTTATCAAATTTTAAGTCACAGATTTAAACAACTGAGCAGGACTATCATCCGTTCTAACTGAACTTCAGAAACACTGATTACAAATGTTCGCAAGCGGTGTAATAACCTTGCGCACTAATAACATGAAACAATATAACGAAGTTTATAAATTTGACAGTGGATTCGAACTGTGCTCACAGACAGGTTCCCATTGATATGTAATACGGTGGGTTGGACGTAACAGTTGACCGAGATGACCACAGTCCAATCACACTGATTGAAACTCGCGCCACAGATCTGCATATTGACAACGGTTATCGCTTGGCGCCGAGACGGCTCGCGTTCAAACAGCCTGCACCAAATCGTCATAGACCGTCTCTAGGTTGCATTCTGGACTTCCGGTCAACGACCGCGGGCTAGAGTAATCTGCTTCTGCTCGACCAGTGTGAGCACCAATGCCTGCTTCCATTTCTTAATCGCCAGGTTTATTGAAGTTACCTGTGCCCGGAAGAAAATGGTGTCATTCTTTACGTAGTTCTGGCATTTAACCACCATTATGAGTCAAAGCCAACGGCGTTGGATGCAGTTGGACGACTAGGAATCATACAAAAAAATCTTGCAAACCGTCATTACATTTGTCCAAAGAACTGCAACGATAACCATTCGGATAGTCAGAAATAGAACATCACCACAGAACTTAAAAATGGGACAATCTTAGATTGTTTCATGGCGATGTAATGATTAAGAGATTTGGAAAAATGCCTAAAAGTGAAACACAAAACGTTGGCAGGTGCCTACACACATTCTGTGCTCAGCTTGTTACCAGAGGAAGGCAGCCCATACTGCTCTGAACACAGGGCAATTTTCCTGATAACTCACATAGATCAAAATTGTCAATAACTGAGGACGTAACGTGTAAATCGATGCGCTAGACGTTCAAGTGTTTCAAAGCTAACAATGAGCATAGATCATATCAAGGAAACCAGTGCTATTAAACCCGAGAAACTGACTGACAACGGACGATATAGAAGCCATTAATTCTGAGATACACGAAACCTTAAGACACAATGTTGAACGTGGGATTTCTACCGAACAACATCCGAATTTTGCGAGAATTATGCAAGAGGGGGAAGATGCAATGCCAGAAAGAGCCGACAATTTGCAGGCTTCATGATGGCTTGGAGAAAGATTCGGTACACTTTAGTTTTGGTGAAAGCATTAAGCATGAATTAACCTGACTATAACACAAAATTTCAACGTATAACACATAACAACAGGAAATGAGAAATGCGACGGTTTTGCCACCTGTGATGGCATTGCAGTGGAAGTTTTCGCAAGGTAGTCATATAGGTTTCTTCCTTGCTATTCATCTTGATACACGTTTCCTGGCTACCCCTGTTATGCGTGTGAAAGTTAAAAATATACTCCGTTTTCATAATAAATTTCGCTAAGCTGGGTGGTTCCTTACTGTAATCTACCTCCGCTAAACAATTTTATGCACCACTTCGAGTTTTCTCACTGAGCTGCCTTATACACTTGATTCTGTTCTTCTGACCAACTTTACAGTGTTATTGCCTCCAAGGAGGCGAATTGTGCGCAGTTTAGAAGTAGCAGTCTCATATCTCATCAACAAGATCGGCACGTTTGTATCAGAAATAGTAGCTGATGTACATTATTCGCGCAAATACTCGTCAATCTCTGTAATTCCAATTCAAAGCCAGCCAGATCGATGGTAGGTTCGGCTTGGTTCCGTTGTTCATTCAGATTTTCCTCTTTCTAATCAGGGTGCTACGCACTCGCTGAATTGATTCCGAACTATCTAAACAACAAATGACAAATATGTAACTAAAGTCAATAAACATTTATACACTCTAAATGAAAGTCGGCATGTAGTTCTCATGGAAACTCTAATACCGCGACAAAAAATGGATTTAAAGTAAGATCTTTCCTGTTTAATTTGTACTTCAAACTATGGATTAGAACAAACCAGTGCAAAAGACGAATCAGATAAAAATCTAAACACCGGAATAAATCAGCCATGACACGAGGGCAGACCGCCGCGAATAAAACAATAGCTAAAAATTTAATCAACGAGAGCAAACACCAAGACAGGTCATAAGAATCAAACATAGAAAAATATGAGTTGAGAGCATTAGAACAACAATTTTTATGCAACACGGCCAAAAACAAGTACTGTGCTCATAATAGTGGTCAGGCGCCGAATTCTAGGCCAAACTGATATGAAATATTAGAGATTCGACTACAGATCAAAGAACAGTAAAAGCACCAAACAAAAACATAACACTGAATTCTCTAAGAGTGAACAGAGCAGTGCCAGTCATCTGCAAAGGTTCCAAGCAGCACAATCCAAGTCCCAAGCGACCTTCTGGAGGGCACTGATGCATGCGCTGCGCGATCCGAGTCCTAACTCCATCAACCTCTGCACCTTGCACTCTTGAAATTGGCGCATTTCGTCGACGTTTCGACCAGCGAAATGGCTTGGCTCGGCGCTCAAATGTCGCACTCGACTGGAAAGAGGATCGAATGTGTCTAACACTGCCTGTCGGCTGGTAGACGTGTTTGTCTGAAGCTGCGAATGCGACAACAACTTCAGGCCACCGTTGAGATTACTAGAGCACTTAATCGGCATTATTGGATCGAACACTTCTACACCACTGTCGCTATAGACGGGTGGAGT